CGGAGTGGCCAACAACCACCACACCCGTGCCGCCTTTGCCTCCCCAGCCCTGACCTTTACACCCCGCACCAGCAACATTAGGTAATTGAAGGCTGAGTCGACCCAGGGGAGGCCCGGGACACACGCGTCACACATGTACACTCGCCCCCGGTCGTGAGCCTAATGTGCGTTGGCAGCCATCGCTTAATTTCAGAAAAGGCGAAACAATCCGGGACGGCTGCTACAGGAATTGTGTTGGCAAACATCCACGGCTTGTCGCCTGGTCGTGCCCTCGATTCTGCCGGGGTGGGGGTAGGGAGGGTGCAGGGAGCGGTGGTGCAACGGTGAGGGTAGGTGTGTGGGGAGCGGTGGTGCAACGGTGAGGGTAGGTGTGCAGGGAGCGGTGGTGCAACGGTGAGGGTAGGTGTGCAGGGAGCGGTGGTGCAACGGTGAGGGTAGGTGTGTGGGGAGCGGTGGTGCAACGGTGAGGGTAGGTGTGCAGGGAGCGGTGGTGCAACGGTGAGGGTAGGTGCAGGGAGCGGTGGTGCAAAGGTGAGGGTAGGTGTGTGGGGAGCGGTGGTGCAACGGTGAGGGTAGGTGTGGGGAGCGGTGGTGCAACGGTGAGGGTAGGTGTGGGGAGCGGTGGTGCAACGGTGAGGGTAAGTGAGGGAGCGGTGGTGCAACGGTGAGAGTAGGTGCAGGGAGCGGTGGTGCAACGGTGAGGGTAGGTGTGGGGAGCGGTGGTGCAACGGTGAGGGTAGGTGTGGGGAGCGGTGGTGCAACGGTGAGGGTAGGTGTGGGGAGCGGTGGTGCAACGGTGAGGGTAGGTGAGGGAGCGGTGGTGCAACGGTGTGGGTAGGTGAGGGAGCGGTGGTGCAACGGTGAGGGTAGGCGAGGGAGCGGTGGTGCAACGGTGTGGGTAGGTGAGGGAGCGGTGGTGCAACGGTGAGGGTAGGCGAGGGAGCGGTGGTGCAACGGTGTGGGTAGGTGAGGGAGCGGTGGTGCAATGGTGAGGGTAGGTGTGGGGGGAGCGGTGGTGCAACGGTTAGCGCGCTACACGACGAACCGGGCGACTCACCCGAGTTCGATTCCCGCTCACGGTCATCACAGGTGCCGATTTATCTGAACCCGTCCTGTGCCTCCCCTAGGTCGAATCAGCCTCAAATGAGCACCTGGTTGCGGTGTGTAAATATTGTATATCGTCACTGGGGGAGACAAAGGCGGTCGGGCGTGGTGCTGGCCACCCACACCCCCCTCCCCCCTCGTATGAAGGAGGAAGCATTGGCTGATTCCATAATAGAGACTTTTTTTTATAGGTTAGACCGCGTAAATATGAATGTCGTAAAACCCGCCACCACCCGACATAATTGGGAGTTTTGATTTAAAGCTTTCGTCACTGCAGGGAATCATATTCTTGGTTCTTTCGGTAAAGTTTTATATTTTTATACTATTTTATTGTTTCCCTTCTACGTGACTTTACCGAAAGAACCAAGAATATAATTGCGAGTCTTGTGGGTTTACTCTCCAACACACCGTGTGTGACAAACCTTACTAATTGTGGGGGGTTAACGACACGATATTTACGCAATCCAATCCCCCCCCCCAAAAAAAATATTAAAACCTTTATTACGGATAATATTCGTCGCGAAAGCCCACGTGTTCAATTGTCTGCTTATATAATTAGTTCGTAATACGGGGTTATTGTGGTATAGGCGTACTTTGTATCCCAAGAGGCGTTCGTTCTACTTACGTAAAAAAAATCCCTATTGCAACGCCAAAGCTGTTAAGTAAAGTAAGCGCTCTGTGTACGCCTTTTTTATACTGATTATAACAAAAGGGAATCGTTTCTCTCTCTCTCACTCGCCAGCACAAGGCACGCCAATGTGTCTACAGTGCCGCCACTTGCCTGCGTACAGAGAGAAAGGGAAAGAGAGAGATGAGATGGTTCTAGGTGGGTCTGTTGAACCCCAGGCTATTATTTGAGACTCGTTCCCATCGTTTCAAGGCGTTGGCCACACACACACACGCACACAGGCAGACAGGCACACACATACAGTACCGCATTGTTTTAATTTCACAGATAACAACTGTATAAATTTTGATTTAAAGCTTTCGTGACTGCAGGGATTCATATTATTGGTTCTTTCACGACGTTTCGACTGCAACACAAGCAATCATCATCACCTGATGCAATCAATAATCGTCACCTGATGATGATTGCTTGTGTGGAAGTAGAAACGCCATGAGAATTGTATTGTTTTATAGTTTTATTATTTCATTGTTTCCCTTCTACGTGACTTTACCGAAAGAACCAAGAATAACAACTGGATAGATGAGATGCCCCCACCCACCCAAAAAAAAGTCGTACGTGGATAACGCAGATGCGCCACGTGCATTTCTTAGCTCGCCAAACACAGGTCCACACACACGCGGGCAAAAGTGGGGATCCGTTGATTCGTTGCTCGTGGAATGTTTTCTAAGCTCAGCCCAGGACAGCTCCAGCTGAAATTAAGCACAAGCACAGATTTTACCCTCGCATTTTAATTGCGGTAGATGCGTTTACAATAAACAAATATAGAGAAAGAGAGGTCGTATGAAGCGAATCCGCCCGAGGAGACAGCTTCTTGCCTGACGCGTAGCGCGCGCAACACACACAATGTTGTCCCACGTCCGACCCGCATATGAGTGAATTCGCACCGCACATAGCGAAGTTTGGGTAGATAAAATAGGTTAAGCCCCGTGTTCGTGAAATCGTACAAACCAAAACCCGCATAAAGCGTTGGGAAACGGGTGTTGTATGTGTAGGCATGCACACAGGTTTCTACGCAACCGTGGTTATAACGGTGAGAATTGCTGGACTTGACATCCAAAAGGTCGCCGGGTCGATCCGACCTCGCGGCGCGGCAGTAGAAACAATTGGGGGTGTCGTTTTAAAAAAAAATCGCTCCGTCTCCCTCCACCAAGTGGGAACAAAAAATTGGTGGGGCAAAGAGTGGGTCACCTCCACCTCTTCAAAGGTGGCTTGCCAGCGTTGACGCCTATTTTGCAGCCTTTGCCAATCCACCGCTGGATGAAGGCCTCCTCGTGCATGCCTCTCTCGTACCATACACTGGTACTGTGCACACAAACGTACACACACACAGGTGTCAAAACAAACGTACACCATCTGTAGGAGACTCGGGGACATTTTTCTCGGGAGCTTAACTCCCAGAGAAGCCCTCTGAGCACGATTATAATTAGGAAGGTAAGGGGCAATCCATTTAGTGCGTACGCATGGAGGGGGTTAACCCAAATTCGTACGCTTGCGTATGGGGGGGGGGGATGAAGCCTCGATAATAATTTGTCTAAATTGGCCTTCAAATGAGCCACAGTTCAGTTTCTTCAGCTGTCAAGTACCACCGGGAGAAGAGGTGTCACTTGTGTGCCACCCTACCCCTAACTGCGAGCTATCACGCAGCTCAGCAACATAAGTGGCCAAGGTACGCAACTTAATTATTTAATGTAGCATTGATCGTTTCTGCGTGGATTAAATATCTGTCGATCTATAGGAATCGGGGGTGGGGGGGGGGGGTGTGCGTCAAGCGTACGCACGCAGGTGGGCGGGGGGGGTGTAAAAAGTTCGCGTGCGTACAGGGAGGGGGGCAGGGGTCAAGTTTTGACAGATTTTTGCGTACGTACTCAATGGATGGCCCCTAATGCATTGACACAGCCGGGCAATATACACGCGTATGTAGACACACACAAAGGGTTAAACACGCACAAAGTAGGCTGATAAGGGGCAAGTGCTGCTAGCGAGCACCTGTGGTGAAGGCCGGAGCGTGCCACACGTGGAGGGGAGATGTGGACCAGCAAGCAGGCCTGGCCCATCTCGGGTTCAGATAATAATTATAATCGACACTGATGTTAGCCGTGGCCGGGAATCGAACCGGGGTGGTTCGGGTTCCTGGCGGTAGCTCTACTGTACTCACGCACGCACGTGTGACAACATCTACAAAGACAAAGATCCCGCGTATAGCCTTAACAGACTGTAAGGGTGTAAGTGCTGTGAGCGAGCACCTAACACACACATCAACGGATACGTATGGGAAGTGCAGGCCGGCGAGGCACACGAGGGTGTGATGGTAAAACCCGGCCGCCTTTGTCTCCCCTGCGGTAATGTTTACACACCGCAGGTGCTCATTTATAGGTGAATTCGACGTAGGGAAGGCCCAGAAGGACCTTCCCTACGTCGCTTGGGTGTTGACCGCGCCGGGTTTGTCTCGCTAACCGCTGAGCCACCACCACCAATGTACACAACACAAAGACAAAGATCCCCCGTATAGCCTCCACAGACTGTCGGGGGTGTGGGAGAGAGGAGGGGTTGGGCAAGTGCTGTTAGCGAGCTTCTATGGATGCCGGCACGCCACACGAGTTGGGGTGGGTGGCCAACCAACCAACCACGCCTGGGCCCTCCCCTGCACCCCCCCCCCCCCTTGCTCAGTGGCGATGTTGGCTGCACCACAGCACCAGGCGCTTCATTTGAGGCCGAGTCGACCTAGTTGCGGAATCGAACTCGGGTGAGTCGACGCCGGGGTTTGTCGCGCGGGGGCAAGTGCTGTTAGCGAGCATCTATGAAGGCCGGCGCGTCACACGAGGGGGGTGGGCGGCCAGCAACACGCCCGACCGCCTTTGTCTCCCCAGTGGCGATGTTTACACACCGCACCAGGTACTCATTTGAGGCTGAGTCGACCTAGGGGAGGCCCAGGACCGGTTCAGATAATCGTCACTGATGTTGGCCGTGAGCGGGAATCGAACTCGGGTCGTTGGGTTCGTAGCGCAGCGCAGCGCTAACCGCTACGCCACCGCTCCCCACTACCAAACAACCCACAACACGACACACGCGCAGATATTTACGACAGACACAGACACGTGGACGCACGCATCACGTGCACGCGCGTGTCGCGTTGTGTGCGTAGCTCCTGCGATAGCCACCCAACCCCCTCGTGCACCGTTCCGGACTTCACAGGTGCTCGCTAACAGCACTTGCCCCTACAGTCTGTTACAGGCTACACGGGGGGGGGATCTTTGTCTTTGTAGCGCCTGCGCCGTTTTGTGAGGTGGCTTGCTGCTTGTCCAGTGGTCGCAACGCCTGAGAGAGAGAGAGAGACTGTCCCCCACAACCCCGTCCTTTCACTTAACGCAGGCTGCTGTTGCTGCTGCTGCTGTTGTTGCGACTGGTGGTGGTGGCACAAGAGGCGTGCGTCCCCCGCACAAATAGCACAGCGTTCTCCTCCTCCCTCCTCAAGTTCCCCCCCCCTCCCCACCCCACCACCATCATCATCATCCGGCGACGTTGTCGGTGGAGGAAGAGGCATCTGAGAAGCTGCCTCGGTTCTTTGGAACACGGTGAGGTTTGTGTGCACGAGAGTGTTGTGTGTGGTTCGTGGTTGTGTGTTGTTTTTGCTTTGGGGAGAGGGGATTCAACATCAGCCTCGGTATGTGTGTGCACGTGTTGAGGAGGGTGCATGTGTGTCCTGTGCGGCGTGTGCTGCTGCCGAGGAGGAGACAAAGGCGGCCGGGCGCGGTGTTGTCCACCCTCAATAGGTGCTCGCTAACGTCACTTTTCTCCAGCAGTCCGTCAAGAGGGACGCACGCGGTGTTTTTTTAATTCTGCTACGTTGCTAGCTTTTACCTGTCCCGGACAGCCGGTGTGGTTTGTACGGGAGATCTTTGCGAGCGAGCGCGTGCGTGTGTGTGTGCGTGTACATGTGTGTGTGCGTGTACATGTGTGTGTGCGTGTACATGTGTGTGTGCGTGTGTGTGTACATGTGTGTGTGCGTGCGCGTGTGTGTGCGCGTGTGTGAGTTCGTGTGTGTGTGCATGTGTGTGTGCGTGCGCGCGTGTGTGCGCATGTGTGTGTGCGTGCGCGTGTGTGTGCGCGTGTGCGTGTGTGTGGTCGTGTGTGCGCGCGTGTGTGTGCGCGCGTGTGCGCGTGTGTGCTCGTGTGTGTGTGCATGTGTGTGTGCGCGTGTGCGTGTGTGTGCTCGTGTGTGTACTCGTGTGTGCGTGGGTGTGTGTGCGCGTGTGTGTGCGTGCGCGTGCGTGCGTGTGTGCGCGTGTGTGTGCGTGCATGTGTGTGTGCGCGTGTGCGTGTGTGTGCGTGCGTGTGTGCGCGTGTGTGTGCGTGCATGTGTGTGTGGAGCGGTAGTGTAGCGGTTAGCGCTACGCTGCGCTATGAACCTGGCGACCCGGGTTCGATTCCCGCTCACGGCCAACACCCAGTGACGATTATTTGAACCGGTCCCGGGCCTCCCCTAGGTCCACTCAGCCTCAAATCAGTACTTGGTGCGATGTGTAAACATCGCCACTAGGGAGACAAAGGCGGTCGGGCGTGGTGCTGGCCACCCACCCCCTCGTGGGCCGTGCTTTCCTTCATAGGTGCTCGCTAACAGCACTTGCCCCTACAGTCTGTTAAGGCTACACGGGGGATCTTTGTGTGTATGCGTGTGTGCTCGATGAGAGAGGCGACCTTAATAGGTGCTCGCAGACAATACTTGCCCCCAAAAGTCTCCGGGGATCGTCCTGTTCACGTGTTTCTCTCTCTCCGCACGTTAACTTCGCACGTACGTACGTGTGTGTCTGAGCCGGTTCTGGGCCTCCCCTAGGTCGACTCAGCCTCTAATGAGTGCTTGTGTGGGGTATGCATGCGTAGGCGTGTGTGTACACGTGTGATTTCATACGTAGCGGGGGGGGGGGTGATATCAGCTGTAATCGAATGTACCCCATGGCATACTCGAGTGCGTGTGTGTACGTGAACCTCTGCACACAGACACGCTTGCTTAGGTATACACGGTGTGTCAATACGTATGTTATAACCTACATAACGTGCATATATTTACATGCGTGTGGACATTGCGTATATGCAAGTGCGCTCATGTACGTGTCGCTGCCTCTGTATGTGTGTGTGTGCTGCATCGGTATGTGTGCGTGTGTATGTCAACATATTCACCCGGCGTGTGATTTGAAAGCGCTAACAGATGCTGCCTGTGTATGCGTGCGCGTGTTTATATATATGTGTATGTGGTTTTGTGTGTGTTTTTTTGCGTGTTTTATGCACGTGTCCTTGACTTTGTATCTAACCGGGCGACCCGAGTTCGATTCCCGCTCACGGCCAACATCCGGAACCGGTCCCGGTCCTCCCCTAGGTCGACTCAGCCTCGATATGTGTACCCGGTGCGGTGTGTAAACATTCGCCGCTGGTGGAGACAAAGGCGGCCGGGCGTGATGCCGGCATTCATAGGTGCTACTCGCTAACAGCACTCTCCCCAGCAGTCTGTGAAGGCTACACGGGGGAGCTTTGTCTTTGTGTCTATGCGCACGGACGGACGGGGAAGCGGCGGCGTAGTGGTCGGCGCACTGCGCAACAAACAACAGCGGGTCGGGTTCGATTCCCTTCTCGCGTCCAAGATCGGTGAGCAAATAGCTAAATACTGTATCTAAGCCTAGCCATAGGTCGACGCATACCGCTGGGGAGACAAAGGCGGCCGGCCCGGGGGGGGGGTGATTGCAGGCACACCACCACCCCTCCGTGCGCTGCTTTGGCCGTCTAGACTGCTGCCTGGCTGGTTAGTCGGCTGATCTTCGTCCAGGTTTAGCCTTAATAGACCTCTTAAGTCTTATTTCAAAAGCTGTTAGCGAGCACCTATTAAGGCCGGCACGGCACACGAGGGGATGGGTCGAGCAGCGCCACACCGGGCCGCCTCTCGTCTCCCCGGTGACGATGTTTTAAATGCCCCAGCAGGTACTCATTTGAGGCTGAGTCGACCTAGGGGGGGGGGAGGATCCAGGACCGGTTCAAGGTAATCGAACTCGGGTCGCCGGGTTCGTTGCGTTGTACGATGCGAGCCATCCCGCACCTCCGAATTAGCACGGTGCAAAGGAAGTTGGGCGCACGGTGCGCGCGCACACACACACACAAACATTCGTCTGTACATATTCTTCCCCGCAAGAGCCACTCGCGGTCAGGGCAGGGATATTCAGCAGCAGCAGCAGAAACCTGTTGCTTGGGAGAGTGCGGAGAGGGAGCGAGAGAGCGAGAGCAGGAATCTTCCATAATTGACAAATCCCCCACGTGCATGCGAGAATGGAAAGAACCACGGTGGTGGTGGTGATGGCGGTGGCTCCATCCATCTGTGCGTGCATGCATGCGTCGGTACATGCTCTGTGACGATCCGCGTCATACGCACGGGTTACCCACACGCATGTGTCACGCATGCCGGTCACGCATGGGCCACGACATCCACCTGTGTTTTGCTCGTTTGTTGGGTTCCTCGCAAGCGACGGTCACCCCTCTTCTCCCCCCCCCCCCCCCATGATTCTTCCGCGTGAATGGGTGGCGGATACGGGGACGTGCCACGCGTGTTGTCATGTTTTCACCGTAGACAACATGTGGGTCGAGCAATAACCCTACTAGCCATTGCTCTCGCTACGCAGAGAGACGGACGGACGGACAGACGGACGGACAGACACACGCACACAGGGAGCTATAATTCACGAGTGTTTGTTTACCGCATGCACCACGGTGGGCCCATGCCGACCATGGGTTGCACGCACGTGAAATGCGTGTGCGCACCGCATGTAATATGTGGGTTGGGCAATAACCTATTGCTGGGTGTGCTCGGAAGGAACACACACACAGAGAGAGAGCGAGAGAGAGAGAGACGCAGTCATATTTCCCTACGAGAGAGTGTGCGGTGCCTTGCGTTGTGGGCCCCTGTGTAGCCGAAGCAATGCCATCATCGTGCGTGTCGGTGACCATTGGCACGTGCGTGCGTAAACACGCGTGGAGCAACAACGACCAGCGCACGGGAGGGAACGTGAATGAGTCCGTGCGAATGGGGAGAACGTGGGTCCAAATGCATGCGGAAGGATCAGGAACGTCATGCGTGTGTGTGTGTGAGACAGCACTTTGCCCTAACAGTCTGTTAAGGCTATATATTGGGGGTGAGGAGGATGTATTTTTTATGTGTTAGGGTGAGGAATGATGTTGTTGGTTAGCCTGGGTACTCGGAGAAAAAGAGACACTGCCATCATTTCCCCCCTGTGCGTGTGTGTGTGGACGCGTGTCCACGCGCTCGATGCGTCATACAGAGCAGGCATGTCACACGCATGTGGCATGTGTATGTGTGTGTCTTTGCATTGTTATGTGCGTAACTGGAGCAACCCACCTGTTGTTGTTGCTTGGTACGCAGGGAAAGACACAGGCGGTCAGTCATCGTTCCATGCGAGCGTGTGTGTGTGTGGACAAGTGTTTATGAATTGCACTGTAATTCGGTGTTTCCACCCAATTAATAGTACACCTAGCCTGGCACAAAGCGCTTCGGCGACGTCGCCGCCACTTAGTGGCAAACGGAGGTTGTTATGCATTACGTGGTTATGCGCTATGTTGGCCGTACACAGCTTAAGCATGTGCCTGTCATGTGTATGTATGACGTGTCGTGTGTGTGTCGTCATGTGCGTGTCATGTATTATGTCAGAACGTACACGTGTGTGTGTGTGTGGGCTGTAGGTAAGCGGTAGTGCATCGGTTAGCGCGCTGCGCTACAAACCCGGCAACCCGAGTTCGATTCCCGCTCACGGCCAAACACCGGTGGCAGATATCTCAATCGGTCCTGGGCCTTCTCCTTAGGTGGACTCAGCCTCAAATGAGCTACCTGGTGTGATGTGTAAAAATAAACCACTGGGGAGACAAAGGCGGCCGGGTGTAGTTCTGGTGCTGGTCACACAAAGATAAAGATCACCCATATAGCCTTAACAGACTGTAGGGGCAAGTGCTGTTAGCGAGCACCTATGAAGGTCGGAACGGTACACGAGGGGGTGGGTGGCCAGCACCACGCCCGACCGCCTTTGTCTCCCTAGTGGCAATATTTACACACCGCACCAGGTACTCATTTGAGGCTGAGTCGACCTAGGGGAGGCCCGGGACCGGTTCAGATAATCGTCACTGGTGTTGGCCGTGAGCGGGAATCGAACCCGGGTCGCCAGGTTCATAGCGCAGCGCGCTAACCGATACACTATCGCTCACACCCACCCACCCACTCGTGTGCCGTGCCGGCCTTCATAGGTGCTCGCCAACAACACTTTGCCCGCAACGATTTTCGTCTTTTTTTTTCTCTCGCCGGCTGAGCAAACCACCTGTTGACTGACGTTCGCTGGGGCGCGCAGAGCGAAAGCGATAGCAGTCGTGATTCAACGTGAATAGTCGAACGCGCGTGTGCCCTGCATTTGGTATGCGCCGCGGTGCCGCACACACCGTGTGTCTCACGCTCGTGCCCATGCACGTAACACGCAACGCGTGTACTGTGTGAGTGTATGGGGGTGGTGAGCTGGTGAGCGTTACTCCGGCC